TGCATTTCAAGACTCCACTTGTGTTAGGACGCTCATATCCTTTTAGCCAGAGCAAGTCAAGTGGTCAATCTTAGGATGGGAATTAGTCCCCAGTGGGAGGCACTACCAGATTACATGGCAGAGGACATGGATAAAGGGACAAATGAAGAACTGTGGAGCCAACTATGTGATTTATAACATATGTTAAGGTGCTCACTGACTCTAAGTCGAGGGGCTCTGAATGGGCCCCTTGACCCACTAAGGTTTCTAGTAATTACTGTTTTGAGGTATAAAGTAGAGCAGGCAGAAGCAGGCCATGTCCATGTGCAGTCATCCAGGGATGATAATATTCCCCGTATAGGAAATTTAGAAATAGTATGAAATTGGGGGAAAAAATTATTCATGTTCTGAGTTATTCTCCAGAGATCATTCTATCACTTTCCTCATTGAAGGTGAAGTTGCTCAGTCGTGTCCGACTCTTTGCGACCCCATGGACTAATGTAGCCCACCAGGCTCCTCCATCCATGGGATTCTCCAGGCAAGAATACTGGAGTGGGTTGCCATTTCCTTCTCCACTTTCCTCATTAATAGTGCACAAATCTATATGTTTTTTCTTAATACTCTATCATAAATCTTTGCCTTGTTATTAAAAAGCCTTTAACATGTAACATTACTGGCTGCGTAATATTTCCATGGTATGCTGCTGCTGCTGCTGCTAAGTTACTTCAGTCGTGTCCGACTCTGTGTGAGCCCACAGACGGCAGCCCACCAGGCTCCCCCATCCCCGGGATTCTCCAGGCAGGAACACTGGAGTGGGTTGCCATTTCCTTCTCCAGTGCATGAAAGTGAAAAGTGAAAGTGAAGTCACTCAGTTGTGTCCAACTCCTAGCGACCCCATGGACTGCAGCCTACAAGGCTCCTCCGTCCATGGGATTTTCCAGGCAAGAGTACTGGAGTGGGGTGCCACTGCCTTCTCCTCTATTGTATGAATACACCCTAAGTCATTAACCTTGCCTTTCCTTTTTACTGTTTTGGTTACTTTCAGTGTCTTGTGATAATAAATAATGCTGCAATGAGCATATTTATCCAAAAATGTTTATGTGTTTACTTGTTTCTTTCATGGATCAAGAGACCTGAATTTTGCCACTCATTTGCTGTGTGGTCTAGACCTGCATGTTAGGTTCCTCATTGTGAGATCACATATCGAGCTTGATGGCCTTAAACTTCTTTCTAATTCAAAAAAATATCTTTCAAGGGAGAGTAATAAATTGCTGATTTGAACTGGAATCAGGCAGGCAACTCCAGCTGTTTGTCACCAAAAAGCTCAGGAGAGGAGTGGAAGCTGTTTTGGGCTTCTCTCTTGGAAGAGTTCAGGGAAAGTTTTGTTTCCTGGTTCACATAATTATCGTTTGTCCTTCAGTCTCCATCTCTGATACAACAAAGATTATATTTACATAATTTTTTTTTTAAAAAAAGAGTGTAGGGCATTAAGCACTAAGAATATAAACTATCTTGACCTACTTAATGGATGTGTGCTTTGAGAATGGTTTAGCTTATTGGAAGAACTGACTTCATGACCTGTCTTCATTTTGCTTGTCATTTTGTTTATTTTTAAATAATTTTATTTATTTATTTATATTTGGCTGTACTGGGTTTTCATTTCTGCACGGGCTTTTCTCTAGTTATGGTGAGCTGGGGTAACCCTCTAGCTGCGGTGTGCGGGCTTCTCTTGTTGTGGAGCATGAGCTCTGTGGCACATGGTCTTAAGTAGTTGTGGTTCCCCGTCTCTAGAGCACGGGCTCAATAGCTGTGGCACACGGGCTTAGTTGCTCTGCGGCATGCTCAATCTTCACTGATCAGGGATCGAACCCATGTTTCCTGCACTGGCAGGCGGATTCTTTAGCCACCAGGGAAGGTGCACTTATAATTTTGTCTTTGCTTTTTGTATTTATGTTTGTCTTTTCTTTTGTGCCTTGTGATGTACCTGTCATCACAGTGATCATAACTGCACACCCATGGGGTCTGGCCTTATTTCACCATTTCCTGGTAACTGCATGTGACCTTTTTCTCAGTGATGCCTTAGTGTTTATTTTCATATGTACCGAGGCTGTGTTTCATCTTGCTGTCTCTCTTCCAGCCTCTGCTGGGGATAAATATTGCTCATTGTGGACAGGCTGTAAGTGCTGACAGATGGAGGTATGAACACATCACTGCTGAGTGGAGAAAGTGTGATCTACGCTCTCTCTGTCTCTGTAGCTGCTCCCCACATCGGTCCTGAGCCTGTCCTCCTTGCAGCTGACAGAGACTCCCCATTCCTAAACTCCTCCTGAGAGCAGTGTTAGAAACTTTATTTGGGACTTCCTGGTGGTACAGTGGATAGGAATCCGCCTGCCAATGCAGGGGACACAGGTTCAATCCCTGGCCTGGGGAGATTCTGTATGCTGTGGAGCAACTACGCCCATGTGCCGCAGCTACTGAGCCTGCGGGCCCTAGAGCCTGTGCTCCTCAACAAGAGAAGCCACCGCAATGAGAAGCCTTTGCACCACGACTGGAAAGTAGCTCCTGTTCACTGCAACTTGAGAAAGCCCACACGCAGTAATGAAGACCCAGTACAGCCAAAAATAAATATACATTAAAAAAAAAAAGATACGTGGTTTGGCTCCTCATCCAGTTGCCCTCGCTGCCCCCAAGCTGAGCTGGGGTGCCCATCTCGCCAGCAGGACTCTGCATCCAGTACAGTGTGGTCTCCATCCTCTGACCGCCTTCAAGAGGCCTTTTGTTTCCTGCTCCTCCCGCTCAGCCAGGATGTGGTCCCCAATCCCCTGGGAATGATGGGACTCCTCCACCACCCCAGAGTGCTCAGCAGCTCCGGAAAACCAGCTCTAAAAGTGAAGCGTCGTCAACCAACTGAAACCTCGCCCATCTTTATTTTTACCCCAGGAAATATTAGTACTTTGGGGATGGAATATTTAATCGAGTCAGTTACAAATTGGATTTGGGGGAAAATCATTTTCCTTGATGCAGATGAATCTAACTTTCCTCTGAGGGAAGTTACTTATGAAATACAACCTTAATCACTGCAAGCTGTAGCTTTTGGCTTCCTTGCCCACTCTTCCACTGCCCCTTGATGGTTGAGTGATGTGATGTCCATGTACCTTTTCATAAGAAAACTTGAGCTCTACTCTTGAGTGTGAAATAATTCATAATGTGAATGACTTTGCTGCCCTCTACAATAACAGTTCACAAGAGTGTGAATGTATATGTACATTTTAATAAAACAAGGGAGCATATCTTGGCTTTATTTCAGTCTCGTTTTAGTTAACTGGCGTCGGGTGAGGAATGCTGACTCTGGGAATCTCTGACTTGTTTTCTCTTGTTCCGCACCTGCTTGCAGCCTCCTTGCTATCCCCTGCCCTGCCCTTCCCGCTTCTTTTCCAGGGCTGCGCTGAGGTACCTGCCCTCAAGTAACTTGATAGAAGTGCAGGGTACCGTGCGGGCTCCTGGGAGAATGTTGCTGAGTGATGGAGGTGCTTCTGTCCCATCACTGCTGTTCCTTTGTGGCAATCCCCAGGCCTGTGATCATCGCGAAAGCCAGAGGCCAAGACAAGACTCGGCAAGGGGCCGCTCTTCCCTCTGGATTTCATGCATTTCAGCAACATGTTTCACACACTCTGAAGTTTCTGAGAGGGCTAAGTACAGTTCTGGAAGTCTAGGGCAGGTATAAGGCTTAAGTGCGCTTGTAGGGAAGCAGACTGGGACCAGCAATGGGGAGTGAAAAGAAAAAAAGAAACAGATAAGCATCCACTGGGGAGAAGGGCAGAGACCTTCTAACCGTTGTCTCTGGTCCTGTCTCCTGAGACCCTGGTTGCAGTCATTCACTCTTTCCTTCTTATTTGTATTTTTTAACTGTAGAATTGGCCAAGAAGTTTGTTGGGGTTTTTCTGCAAGATGTTATGGAAAAACCCAAACAAACATTTTGGCCAACCCTATATATATATATAAATATTTCTTTCTTTTTTTTTTTAATGTAGTTGCTTTACAATGTAGTGTTCATTTCAGCTGTACAGAGAAGTGGATCAGTCACATGTATACATGTAACTCCTCTTCCTTGGATTTCCCTTCCATTTAGGTCAGCACAGAGTATTGAGTAGAGTTCCCTGCTCTATGCAGTAGATTCTCGTTAGTTATCTGTTTAATACATGGTAGTGTATATGTGCCAATCCCAATTTCCTGATCCATCCCCCCTCTTCTTTCATATTTTTAGATGTACTCATTTATTTATGAATAGATAATAGATTCATTTGGTTTGAAAACCAAAAACTATAGAACACTACACCCTGAAATTGTCCCTTTTATCCTGTTCCCCATCCTCCCAGTCTCCTTCCCACGGTGCCCAGGGAGCTTAGTTTCTTTCATATGCTTGCTTCCAGAGTTGCCTTAGGCGTCCTCACACTCAAGTGAATGAAAGCATAGATTCTTACTCTGCTGGTCGTTTGTTCATCCATTGATCTCCTCTCTCATGGTCTCATTTTATTTCTTTTAATTCTACTCTCAATAATTACTTTTTTATTAATCTGTCATAGTTTTGGTTGTGCTGGGTCTTTGCTGCTGCGTGCGGGCTTTCTCTAGTTGCGGAGCACAGAGGCTGCCCTCTGGCTGCGGTGTGAGAGCTTCTCGTCGCGGTGTCTTCCCTTGTGGAGCACAGGCTCTAGGCACACAGGCCTCAGAGATCGCCGCACATGGGCTCAGCAGTAGAGGTTCTCAGGCTCTAGCGCACAGGCTCAGTAGCTGTGGCTCGGGGGCCTAGTTGCCCCGAGGCACGTGGGATCTTCCTGGACCAGGGATCAAACCCATGTCCCCTGCATCGGCAGGTGGATTCTTATCCACTGAGGCGCCAGAGAAGTCCCTCAATCATTCTTTGTTGGAGGTTTTTTTGAGGAGAAAGGTCGGTGGTCACTTGTTTTACTTCTTCCTGATGCCCTCAGCAGATTTCACGCAGTGTGCTTGTCTTTTTCGCACAGAGGAGGTGGAGAGTGAGAAATGGTACCTGTCTCCAGACTTCCCACCAGCAACCATCAAGACAGAGCCCATCACGGACGAGCCACCCTCAGGTCTTGTCCCCTCTGTCACGCTGACCATCACCGCCATTTCCACCCCGTTTGACAAGGAGGAGCCCCCTCTGGAAATGAACACTGGGGTAAAGTCACTTCTCTTCCATAAAAACAGATTGGATCAAGAGATAACAGATCCTCATCCTCCAAAAAGGCATTTAATCTTTTTGGAGCCAGTGGTTGGATATGTAACTATATATATATGTAAAAGTGCATTTATGTCTATATCCAGAGCATGTCGTTTTGGGGTCAGCATTGGTTGTATCACTTCCTTTAAAGGCATTGTCCAAAAAAACTGGTAGCAAGTATAATTTCGGTTTTTCTGTGAATGCTATTACAGAATTGAAAAAGTTCAGGGATATCCATGTTGGAAAAAAATTCTCCCTGGAATTGATTTTTAAGCCAGTGGAAAGGGAGTGGTTACAGCGATGGTGCTATTCATAGCTTTCTGGGCTGTGGCAACAAGGAATGCTTGATCCTGTGTCATGCTTTATTTTCCTAGCGCTGTGCCCTGAATTCAGGGGTTTCCCAGCTACCAGTTCTTATTGTATTACCCATAGAAAATGTAAGAAATTGGGAGTTGCTCAGTTCCATGCCTATAGCAAGTAGGATTTAGTTTTACTCCACCTTCTCTTTAGGTATTTTGATGTCTGGTGATGGACCAGGGTGATACTTGTACATCTTCTTCTGGATATTTGGAATTCAGTCCTAACTTTCCTTATGCTCAAAGCCACAGGTTATATTACAGTGACTCCACTGACATTCTCTAAGTCGTTTCTTCTCTGAGCGAGGTAGAAGAGTCCGGGAAAAGGTAACACAGCAGTGATGGCACCAAGGCTTGGCTGCATCCTCACCCCTTGTGCTGTTTACCTTCCATCCATGGGGGAGATGAGGGCAGCTGAAGACCAGGCAGACAGAGCACGTCTATGCTGCCCTCCATAATTCCTTTCTCAAAAGCTACCTGAGTCTGTTTATAGAATGAGGCTTCTGGAGTCTATTAGTCTCCTTGCTCTATGAGATTTTAGTTTGGATTTTATGCAGTCACTAAGAAAGGTGAGAGCCATGGCCTTACTCCCATGCGTGGGCCTCCTTCCCCTACCCAGTGTTTTCATGGTGACGTGCTGTCGGTTGTCAGGAACCTGGAGAGAACGCACGCAGCTGGATTCACACAGTTCCTCCTGCTGGAGGCCCGTGACCCTTTAGGGATGTGCCAGACTAGTTTTGTGATAAAGTGCCTTTACAGTACCATAGATGCAATAGAATGAAGCACTGACAAGTGAGCCCTGGGTTCTTCGTTTGAGAATTCTGAGGGCTCCATCACCTGTACTGCCAGGTTTGGCAATGGGGGAGGGTTAAGGACTAAAATACCTCCCGGTCCAAGAAGCAGCCTGTGCTCAGCCAGGCCTCACCAGCCCTAGCACAGCCCTAGGAGGGAGACAGAATGACGAATAGATCCCCGGGGTATTGCTTTGGGTTTGTTATTGGCTTTTAAAAACTGTGTTTGAATTTCTTTCTTTAGGTTGATTCCTCATGCCAGACCATTATTCCTAAGATTAAGCTGGAGCCTCATGAAGTGGATCAGTTCCTAAACTTCTCTCCCAAGGAAGGTCTGTCTCCTCTCCCCTTTGGATTAACAGGCGTGGGTGAGCCACCCAGGGAAGGTGGGGACTGTTGATTGTACTGAAGGCAGAGCTTGTTTTATGAAATAGCTGTTCTTGACTCTAAATACAAACTTTGAAAGCTAAATTGTATTTTCCCATATATGTGTATGCTTAATTTTCAAGTAAATCTTAAACTTTTACTCCAAGCCAGGGTGACTTTACAACAAGTTTATAGACTCTTGTGACTCGGGTGCTGACAAGGGAACATGGGAAGCCCTGCCCTCAAGCCATCCTATGAATAAAAGCCAGCTCCCTGCCCTGGCGTGATGATCAGTACAGACCTAATGGGCATTGACAAAGCCAACTTGCTGGCTTAAAACAAACTCTAATTTTAAACCCTGTGTGAAGTGGATTCACAGTTTATCTGTCTGGCAATTCAGTATTTTTAAATGTTGATTTTCAGGTGGCTCAGCTGGTAGAAAATCTGCCTGCAATATAGGAAATGAAGGTTCAATCTCTGAGTCAGGAAGATCCTCTGGAAAAGGGAATGACAACCCACACTCCAGTATTCTTGCCTGGGAAATCCCATGAACAAAGGAGCCTGGTGGGCTTCAGTTCCATGGAGTCATGAGAGTTGGACATGACTTAGCAACTAAACCACCACCAATCACCACCACTCCTTTATTCCTGCGTCTCTTCAGGCATCTTGCATCTATTTAGAAATAAGTGGTGTCAGTACTTGAAATGGTCACACTCTCACTTTTTTCTTTTCCTGTGTCAGTTTTTTCTTTGTCCCCTGTGAAGCCCATGGGTAGGAATTCTGAATGCAGACCCCTAAGTCTCATAGAGTCTAGGAAGCTCTCCCAGCCTTTTTAATTGATATACTTTACCCAGCTCCTTAATTCAATGCCTTAAGACACACCATCCCCTCCCTTTTTATTTATACTTTCAGCCCATGGTTAGAAGGACAGCTCATCGATGTGATCAACAAATAAGAAACTAGTATATGCGCTTGTCATGGGAAAGGTATCCATGCTATGGGGTGGACATAATGTGCAGATGTTACAATATATAGGAGCAATGCTCACATAAACAAAGTCTACTTCATGCCACCAGAAACATACTCCTAATTTATCCGTGACACTTCAATCAAGGTTGGCACTTACCTTTGTCATCAATAAAGAAAGGATTCAATTATTTTTTTTATATTTTTTTGGCCATACAGCACAGCATATGGGGTCTTAGTTCCCTGACCAGGGATTGAATCCACACTCCTTCCATTGGAAGTGTGGAGTCTTAACCACTGGACTGCCAGGGAAGTCCCAGGATTCAGTTTTTATAATTAGTAATACTGACTAAAATCCATATTGAGACAATATTTATTTTCATCGAGTGATACACATTTTAGTGCTTTTCAGCTTTAAAGAAAGTCATTCCTTTCATTTTTGTGACACTGGTTACAACTGTCAAATACATTTTGCTCTTTTAGTCTGTGTTGCCATATGCTTCTGAAAATGTCATCACCGTACCAGTGAACCCCGTAGTGGCTTCAGAATCTCTGATCTCTAGAGGAGAAAAGTTTCAGGGTTATTCCTTGAAATGGCCATCTTTCCTCATTATCCTAGATAAAGAGGGAGGAGGAAATTCAATATCCTTGAATGCAGCGGGGCTTCTAGGCAAAGTGGTTTCTTGTCCCCACCCCGTCAGGAAGTAACCCAAGAACCACATTTCAAGTGAATTTAGAAATCTGATACTGAGGCGCTTGTGACCAGGGCAGTAGCTCTCAATAAGTGTGTAAGAGGCGATTCAGGTTTGCTTCACTTTTCCTGCCGTACCATTTCCATTTTTTTTTTGGTGGAGCACCTTCTTGGAAAGGAGAAAAGTAGAATACTTTGGACTGTGCCCAGCCCAGAGAAGTAAGCTCTGGTACTCTTGACTAATTCTCTAGACTAATAGCTCTGCATGGCAGACACCAGGAGCCCCTGTGAGGTTTTTCTGCTCCTGGGTTTTGTTTTGCCTTTGTTTCTTATTTGCTTGTTTGTTTACCATGGCTAAAAGATAAACATTGTTAAAATTCAGTTCAGTAGCTCAGTCATGTCCGACTCGTTGTGACCCCATGGACTGCAGCATGCCAGGCTATCACCAACTCCCAGAGCTTGCTCAAGCTCATGTCCATTGAGTCGCTGATGCCATCCAACCATCTCATCCTCTGTTGTCCCCTTCTCCTCCTGCCTTCAATCTTTCTCAGCATCAGGGTCTTTTCCAATGAGTCAGTTCTTCCCATCAGGTGGCCAAAGTATTGGAGCTTCAGCTTTACCATCAGTCCTTGCAATGAATATTCAGGACTGATTTCCTTAAGGATTAACTAGTTTGATCTCCTTGCAGTCCAAGGGAAAAATTGTTAAAAGATAAACTCTAAAAAATTAAAAATTTCAAGCGCTTATTTGAGCAAAATATTAATTAGACTTTTCAGCGCCAAACTGGTTAAAAGTTTCCACTGACAAGAGCTGGGGGGAGATTTTATAAAGAGAATGTGGAAGCAAAGTAAGGAGATTATTGATTGGCTCTAACTTAAAACTTAGTTGGCTGTTTGTGACCAGTTGTCCTTAGATTCCAGCCTGGTAACCTTGAAGCATTTACAGGTTTGGATTTTGGTTTGCCTGTGTAAGTGGCTAGAGCACTGGAGACACCCCAGGGTAACAGCTTCCTTGCTTATTAACTGACCTGACACTGCAGAGTCCCGTAGGTCATCATCGTGTTGGGGAAACCTTACTTAACACTCTTAGGACTCCTTTCTAGGTGAACACATATTTAAGACGCCTACCTACCCTCCTTAGCTGCCTGGAAGCATTGGCCGAAGAGTTGACAATAGAGATGTATGGGATTGTTTTAGAATATTCTTTAGCTTTAGGAGTGCCTGTGTACTCTAAAAAACCAGGGAACTCTATGGCAGGGTAGGTTAGAAGGAGAAAAGAGACAGGTTAGCATAAGAAAGAAAGAGGAAAAAGTATGTGCTGTGAGTAGGGGTGGGACAAAGTGGGGAGGTGACTGAGAGAGATGCATCACCTGTGATTCCCTGGGACAGTCGGTGTTTCAGTGAGCAGAAGAGCCCCATGCTTCCAGCTTCTCACCTCCAAAGGCAGCTCTGGGGGTGCTTTTTCTGAGGTGGGTAGCTGTGTCTCAGAAAGGCTCCTTCCATCTACAGTATCTCAGGCAGGAGGCCTTTCCACGGCCCCAGGCTGTTCTCTGGTCAAGCAAGTCCAGGTGTGTATGCGCCGTCCCCCCGCCGCCCCTGCCCCCGGGCCCCTTGCCCAGCTCAGAGCCACTGCACTCAGGGCTCTGTGGTCCTGGGGGTCCCAGGAGGGGTGCAGCGTGAAAGGCTTACCCAAGGTCGCGTCCCTTGGCTTAGTAACGGCTGTCAAGGTGTTCCAGTGCAATGTGAAGATTTGCAGGTCAGAAAAAGAGTGAGACCCCCAAAGCCCATTTGTCAGGTTGAACTCAGAGAGGATTCTTCCTTTGGAACCCGTCTCGGCTGCCCTGGAGGTGCGTGAGCAGCACTGACCAAGGCTCCAAGGCTGGCAGAGATGGGTGTCTCCCTGGGGAGAGGTGAGGGATGCTTGATGCTGGGGGACGTTGCGGGGAACACCCTCCTCCCCTCATTTATCTTCCAGTGCCTACTTTTCTATCCACAAATGGATTGGGTGTTATTTGAATCAAGAATGCCTGGCATCTGGCCTGTGGGCCCTGCCATGCACATTCCTGCAGAAACAAATGAGCTTTTCTCATACCCTCATGGGCTCCTTGCTTCTGCTATTTCTCTCTTTTTTTTTTTAAGATCCTGATGCATTAACATGGATTACAATCTAACTATGGAAACTATATGAAATGAAGAGAGGGAACGTTATGCCAGCATCATCCCTGCCTACTGTAATTTCCCGTGTCCCCATTTTGTCATAATTTTATTACTTCCTTACATATTTTCCCGAGTTTCTTTATGTAGTTACAAGCAAATAGGGTCTATATTCTCTTTCTCTCCTTTTTCGTACAAAAGGAAGGCTACTTTATACACTGTCTTGCACCTTGATTTATTTCTCTCATCTATAGGTTGAGACCAGCACACAGTTATGTCACATCTACTGAAACCCCTATTGACCAAAGTAAAGCTCAAAAATCCAGTCCAAAAATTTATCCACAACATGCTGTGCTAAGTCGCTCAGTTGTGTCCAACTCTTTGCAAACCCATGGACTACAGCCCGCCAGGGTCCTCTGTCCATGGGATTCTCCAGGCAAGAATACTGGAGTGGGTTGCCAGGTCCCCCTCCAGGGGATCTTCCCAACCCAGGGATAGAACTGAGGTCTTCTGCATCGCAGGCAGATTCTTTACCAACTGAGCCACCAGGGAAGCCCATTATCCATAATAAAGCCAGAAAAATCAAGCCAAGAAGGCACCTGCCTGAGACTGTATCAAGAACTGCAGAGTTAGAACCCAGTAATTCAACCTACTGTTTTTCAAAAGAACCTTTTAAATTTCACCTTAATGGGACATCTTGAAGGCCGTTCCATGTCCACTCAGAGATTCCTCATCCATTTGTTTAACTGTCCTGGGTTGGATGTTGGATGTTTAAGTGCCCCCACGTCCTGCTTCGTTGCTCCCTGATGGATGCAATCCGTTCTTTTCCCCTCAGCCTCTGTGGACCACCTGCACTTACCGCCCACTCCTCCCAGCAGCCACAGCAGCGACTCCGAGGGCAGCCTGAGCCCCAGCCCGCGCCTGCACCCCTTTGGCCTTCCGCAGACCCACAGCCCCGCCAGGGCCCCGGCACGGGCTCCCTCGGCGCTGGCCAGCTCCCCACTCCTCACTGCTCCTCATGTGAGTGTCCCCGCATCCCTGCAACCCGATCCCCCCATCCTGTCATTTGGAGCTTCACCCAGTGTGGCTGCCATTCAGAGCCACTTGGCTTTTCTTCCTGTGGGAAGTTTTCAGTCTAATTGCTAAAGCTGGGGGATGACAGACTTAGAGAACATTTTCTAAAAACTGCCTGTGATCTCATCGTGCTAACACATTCTTTTCCTTTTCTGTGCATGCTTCCGGTTTTTATTCATGTGCTTATTTTTCATAGCTACAACCATGAGGAATAAAAATGTTGTCATTCTCAAAATTGTATCACAAATATTTATTGTCAACTTAGGCAGTCTTTGTGACCTAGGATAGGAAATGGCTTATTTTTTAAATAAACAATCTTCGATGAACTGAAAAATTGCTCTGAGATTAAACATTTTGATGTCTAAAGCACAAGCATATAATTTAACCCTTTTGTCTGTAGTTCAGCTCTTAACCCAGTGACTCAGGGTGGAACTCATGAGTCATTATTCATCCCTCACATATATAATTTCTCCAAATAAGAAATAGGGATATATAATTAATTTTGCATTATTCTGAATAGTCAATTGATTTCTCTGAGGCTTTAAAAATCAGTCAACCTTACTGAGTTTATAATATCACATAGAGCAAATTTGAATGAAGTGAGATATGTAAAAATTCTAGAAGAGCTGTCTATCAATTAGCATAACTTTGAAAACTTGAATGCAGTCTGTCTCAGAAACTCAGCAAGTTCTTAGATCTATGGCCATGTTCTTATTTATCACTATTACTGAGGGCCAGTGGGTTACCTCTTTCCACTCCATCTTTACCTTCTCACCATTAACCCTTCACTCTTTTGATTACTGAGATAGTGTTCATTCTATGGGTCTGTGGGTCCTGCCACAATGATTTCATTCTACATGGTCATGGATGAAATCCTCCCCATGTCAGACCTTGGTTCAGCATCAGTGCTGTGTTTCCCTACTATCTGTTGGCATCAAGCCCACATACCTCTGCTGGGTACTAACACCCTCTGTATGTGCCCAACCTGCAGCAGCTTCAAGAACTCACCCCCTCCAGGCAGAGTGTCTTCTTCTGTTACTCTTTACAAGGCTGCCTTTTGTTGGAAAGTCCTTCCCTGTGTAAATTGCCCCTTCTTTCAGGAGGCCCAGTTCAAGTCTTATCTGCTACCCTAAGCCTTCCCTTATCGCATAGACTCACACAAGTGTTCCCTTTCTTCATATTATTAATGCACCTGGAGTGAATATCACAGTCTAGCATTTAATTGCTCTCGTTCTTTCACATGTTTCAATTCAGTCTTGGTCTCATTAGCTACTTAAGAGACAGAGTTCGTTTTAATTCCTCCATGCATTTAACACAGAGCTAATATGCAATCGGTACTCAGTTTATTGACTGATTGTAAACACATTGTCCTAGTATGGATGACATGGGATGAGCTAGAGTTGTCATCTCCACTGATGATAGATCATCTAGGACAGTGCTGACCAGAGACTATCGTGGAGCAAGCCTGCCAGTGTGGCCCTGGGAGTCCTAACCCTCTAGCTGGGAATGGAGGTTGAGAAGCGGCTCCTAGTGCATAGAGAGCAGCTTGCAAAATGGCCTTTTCAGGAGAACAACAAACTTTCCACAGAGCTCCAAGTGAATTCCTCATCGCTCTGAGGACAGGAAACCTCCAGGGATGTAGGAAATGAATTCTATCCTTTAATTTCCATGTTTTAGCCAGTGGGGTACTTCGTGGGAAATAATGGGTGGAGGTTTCTTTACCTGTTCCCTTAAATTATAATCCTTGGGTTGTAACACTCACACGGGCATCTTTTCCATTTTTTTGCTTCCACTTCAGAGTGCCTATTTCTCACCCAAACAGACGGGCGTCCTTTTTCCTTAGTTGTTTGCAAGACATCATAACAGACCCTCCTTGCCCCTCAGGTGGCTTCCCTCCAGTGCGCCCGGCTGCTCCTTTTTGACCCTTTTCTGCTCCTTGGTCTGCACAGAAGCTGCAGGGATCAGGCCCCCTGGTCCTGACAGAGGAGGAGAAGAGGACCCTGATTGCCGAGGGCTATCCCATCCCCACCAAGTTGCCCCTGACGAAATCGGAGGAGAAGGCCCTGAAGAAAATCAGGAGAAAAATCAAGAATAAGGTGGGTCCATCAGATGCAGGCACTTCTGTGAGCAGTGATGTGAGCAGAACCAAGCCACGTGCTTGTCTTCCCTTCCTGGTGGCCAACACTGGCCTGGCCCTTGGTGTCGGGACCAAGGCTTGGCCCTGTCTTTCTCCAGCCCTGCCATCCATCTTCTGGTCAGTGGGCCCCCAAATCGGATGTGCACACCCCATGATGCTCAAGATAATCTATTCAGGCATGGGAGGAAAATATTAGAACTCCAATTTATAGTTCAAAGCATCTCAGCCTTTAAAATTTCCATTTTATGATATATACAATATTCCCCCCAGTAAGCATCTATACAATTTATAAATATTTATAAATTATAATATTATAACTAAATAAATATCAATACATTATGGGTGCTTGCTTAATTTTTTTCCTTGATAGATGTTTTTGTTAAGAAATTCTGCAGGCTCTTCTATACCTGGACCTAGCAGTTTCCTAGTCTTGGGCCACTATTGTGGGAATAAGGGACACAGAGGTCCTGGGGCATGGCTAGGGTGTGGATAGAGCAGGAGGGAGCAGACTAAGAGGAAGAAGGAGAGGGCTTAGAGTCATAATTCTTCACCCACGTGCAGAACCACAAGGGAATTTTTGTGTAACTAACCCTGACTGGCTTATATTATGTATTACAGTGACCCAACTAGGTCTACAGAATTGAAATCATTTTTCTGAGACCATAGAAATGGTTCATGGTGTACATGTTCTGGTCTGACTCCTGGACTAATGTCCTTCTCACTCGGGGCCTAGTTTGTTGGAAAGTAGATGAGAACATAGACCAGTTGAAACCAGGGGGGACAGAAGAGGTGATTAGTAGATGAGCCAGCAAGTTAAAGAAATGGGAAGTGGCCACGGAAGTGAGCAGGGCTTCTGTGATTTCTGTGCTCATGGCCTCCTGTCATATGGGTTTACTGCTATGTTGCTGTTCAGTTGCTGAGTCGTGTCCAACTCTTTGCAACCCCACGGACTGCAGCATGCCAGGCTTCCCTGTCTTTCACTATCTCTGGAGTTTGCTCAAACTCATGTCTATTGAGTCAATGATGCCATCCCACCATCTCATCCTCTGTTGTCCCTTACTGATACAGCTGGAACATAATACTTTCTTCTCCCCTTTCATTGTAGATTTCAGCCCAGGAAAGTAGGAGGAAGAAGAAAGAATACATGGACAGCTTGGAGAAAAAGTAAGCCTCCTGCCAAACTGGTTGTGTGTTTTGAGCAATTCACGTAGAGCAATGTGAGTGCTGGGGCCTCTGATTTCCATGACAAGGGGGTTCAGTTTCTCACCTGGCTCCCAGCGAAGGCTGTTGGTTTTTCAGCTGTGTTTTGCCTGCCACCTAGTGGTTTTTAGGGGAGAAGCTTATAAATCTAGTAAGAAAGAAAAGTACAACTTCCTTGGTGGCTCAGATAGTAAGGAATTCGCCTGCAATGCAGGACACCTGGGTTTGATCTCTGGGTTGGGAAGATCCCCTGGAGAAGGACATGGCTACCCACTCCAGTATTCTTGCCTGGAGAATCCCATGGACAAGGAAGCCTGGCGAGCTATAATCCATGGAGGCGCAAAGAGCCAGACTTGACTGAGTGACTAACACACTTCCACTTTCGATCTTAGTAGGCATTTGTACAGTACTGTTTGTTGGAAACCAAAGGTCTGTAAGACCTTGAAGGCTTCCTTTCAAATAAGCACAAATACAAAACCGTCATGCACATTCCTGGACTCCTCAGAGGAGAGGTGCCGTTTTGGTAGAAAAGAATCCAGGGCTAATTAATCAATTACCCTTGGCCACACTCCCTTGCACACTAGAGAAAGCAGCAGGGGATATAAGACAAGTTGGCGTTCTTTATTTTCTGTCTGCTATGATTCGTGTTATAGGTGAGTGTTTTTGCACAAAAACATTTGAAGATACCTTGTGTTATTCTGAATAGCCTGGAATATCAGGAGGGCTGTTGGAAAAACAAATTAAAAAACAATTTTGTATTACCCTAGAAAATAGTTCCCATCTGACAAGCTAATATCATTTTAAAATGGGAATGAGTCCCTGGATCTAGAAATGAATCTTTATGTATATCTGGTGAGAGGTTGGTGGATCCTGGCTGGTTTTTGAAGTTCCTACTGAAAGTCAATGTTTCTTCCTCTTGATTTAGGTTTTGGTAATAAGAATTATTACCAGTCGTTGTTGAGGTATCCAGCGTCAAGATGTTTCGATGAAAATCTCTTTATGGCCTCCTTGGGGCATGCCTCCTTGAGCACCTGAGTTCCTTATCCTGAGGTCCTAGGGTCTTGTCCTTTCCTCTCCCTCTGCCCCAAGCCCTGTCAGTCTTTCTGGCCAAGAGCACAGCTAGCAGAATTCAGTCCCCATAATATGGTGGGAGAAGTGTGATGAGCATTGAGAGCCATAGGGAAAAGTCAAGAGGAATCAAGTCTGAAAAACCCTGTAAGAAGTTCGGGCTTCCCTGGTGGCTCAGATGGTAAAGAATCCACCTGCAGTGTGAGAGACCTGGGTTCAGTCCCTGGGTTGGGAAGATCCACTGGAGGAGGGCATGGCAACCCACTCCAGTGTTCTTGCCTGGAGAATCCCCACAGACAGAGGAGCCTGGCGGGCTACAGACCATAGGGTCGCAAAGAGTCGGACATGACTGAGCGACTAAGCACAGCACATAAGAAGTTTACATGTGTATCATCCCTATTTCTTTCCCATTATTGAGCCATTTGTTACTAATCTCTTTCTCTGTCTCTCTTTTGTGTGTGTGTGTATCCTCACCCTTTTCCCCAACTCAGGTTGGCCTAGCTCTCTTCCTGATCTCCCTAGAGTAGCTGCTTCTCTGTTTATTTTTTCTCTGAACCCCACCTGCCTCCATCCTAGCTCCTGGCTTAGTGCTTGTTCCCCTGATAAACTCAGGGTTTCCTTTTTCTCTCTCCTCTGTAGGGTAGAGTCTTGTTCAACGGAGAACTTGGAGCTTCGGAAGAAGGTGGAGGTTCTGGAGAACACCAACAGGTGAGGGTCCCTGGAGGGAGGAGGCCTGATGGAAGGTGGGGAGAGAGGGGCAGATCAGAAAGGGAGCTGGGAAGAAAGCGGGGGAGATGCCATTGAAAAAGTAGTTGTCCTAGCATGCTCAGGATGGCCATGCTCCATGCACCTGTTCCTGCCGCCTGTGTGCATGTGCACACACACAAACGCACACATGTATGTGCGTGCATGTGCACATGCATACACACACACATGCATGTGCATGTCCTTTACTTTGCCTCAAATGCATGAGATTGATGAAGAGGCTGACTCTGACAAGGGCTTTCATGAAGAGGGAGTTAAGGAAGAGGCTTGGGAGAGAATATGGTCAAGGAGTCTGATTCTCCTAAAAATGACATTAGACTTTATAGAGGTGGCTAAGGAGGGAGTGGCTACTTTGTTGTCACCCAATTTGAGTAAAATGAATTAGTGCTTATTAGTAAAAAAAGAAAGGAGAGAAAACTAAGTTTGTTTTTTTTTAAGTTTTTAATTGCTGTGTTTAAAAGTTAATTGATTGATTACATTTTAAGTCCATTTTGAAAAATCACTGTAGGACAGATGGATTCATGAGTTCATCTAGCACCTCCTGTGTCAGGTACTGTTTTCAGGACTTTATTAACTCATTTAACCTTCTGATGACCCTACGACCTAGTTCTGTTACTATCCCTATTATAGAGAGGAGGTAATGGAGACTCAACAGGGAGGCCTGGTGTGCTGCAGTCCATGGGGTCGCAAAGAGTCGGACACGACTGAGTGACTGAACTGAACTCAATGGAGACTCAGAAAGGTTAGGTGACTTGCCCAAGGTCACACAGTAAATGCCAGAGCTGCATCTGAAGGCAGGCAGTCTGGCCCTGGAGCCTTGATGAGCTTTATCCTGGGTCATGTTAAGGAATAGGGCTGAGAAATGGTGGTTGAGAAGTTTCATCATGTGTGTGTGTGTGTTCAGAGTCTGCTCATGCTTTGAAAATTAAAGTATTCATTAGTCAAGGGATCCTGTTGCCCTTAGCTGTTATAGATCCAACAATCCAAGCAGAGAAAAATTGACTTTTAGGTAAGTGAAATATTAATTCATCATTTTAAGGCTTAGCATTAATGCTTAATAATAATTTTGCAAATGTTAAGGGATCAGGGTAAATCTATTTGCATGTCATCTGATAACAGTGTAAAATTTGGCTCCCATTTCCTAAATCTTCATGGTCTATTGCTCAAACAGCAGGCTAATTGAGTCATCAGTTAAAAATACCATCAGTAGAAAAAGTGGACATTGTGACCCTGCTGGGTTTCTCTCTGCATTTCTGGGAACATGTGCTCATATGGCAGGTCAAGGACAGTCACCTCCAGCACTCTATAGACAAACAATGGAAGTAAGTAAATGTCACCAGCTCCATGTGATATCACCTTGATCCCCCATGCAGAGGAACTGGTTTCCAATGGTACTTCAGGGTTCCTGTTTCGCTGTTGTCTTTGGCCATTAGTCTCCTGAGGCTTCATCCCTTCTTATCTCCACCTTTATTCCTGCCAGAGTGGTTCTCTGGGTCCTAAACCCCCACCAGAGTCTGTATCCATTTTGTAAGCATCCTGAGCAGATACTAGTCCATCCTACCTCCTGTCTTAGCCATCGCTATTGCAAAGACACCATGTTCATGAGTGGGACAAATCCAGGCCATGAAATGGTGAAAAGGGAAAGAGGAATCCATCCAAGATAGAGGAGTTTGGTCCAGGTTGGGTCTTGTCTAGGGGTTCTGGATGTCAGGTCTTCCTGCAGCCACACGGGGGCAGCAGAGGCGCAAAGAGCATTGGGTGCTTGTGATGAGAAGGGCTCGCTGCCTGTCCCCTTTACTGGGAAAGGGTCTCTCCTCCCCTCTCCAGGCTGACCCTGCTGTATCATATATTTTAAACCTAAAAGAGAAAACCTACACACATGTACTATATGCCCATTGTAAAAAAAAATTTTAGAAAATACAGTTTAAAAAGAAAAGAAAATCCCCCCAAATCTTTTCACCCAAAGAAATGTTTACATTTTGAAATGGAATATTTTATATGTATGTACTTATGTTGTACATCCTCTTCTGTTAAGAACCTTTCCCATTTAACAGAAATCACTGGCCATATATTTTCATATCAGTTAATGTATTTCTACATAATTTTATTTCTGTCAGATTTTGATAAAGAGCTGTTATCTGCAGAGCATGGACATAAAGTACATTTGATTATGTGTGTTTCAAGAACAATCTGTGCTTCGCCAATTGTTTTTATCTTTTAAAATAATAAAGTGTTAATTGCTTAGTCGTGCACAGCTCTTTGTGACCTCGTGGACTGTAGCCTGCTAGGCTCCTCTGTCCATGGGATTCTCCAGGCAAGAATACTGGAGTGGGTTGCCATTTCCTTCTCCAGGGGATCTTCCTGATCCAGGGATCGAAACCAGGTCTCCAGCACTGAAGGTGGATTCTTTACTGTCTGAGCCATCAGAGAAGCCCTTTAAAATAATGGCCATGGCTATATTAATATGATGTCAATTATTGTACAATATGAGTTAGAGAGCCCCTGTATATCTGAGCTTGGGTCAGTATGTCTTGAGTTCTCCCCTGAGAGCCAATGGTAGTTTTCCTTCTGTCTTTTTCACTGTGGGAGCTTTTGCCAGCAATTCAGCCTGCAGGAAATTCCACTGAAAAAGCAATCTATCTTGTGCGTATGGTGCTCTGCTTGCCCCTTGACTGGCAGGAGCTTCCACTGTGGCTCCCCCACAGGCCCTGTGTTCAGTCTCCTCCCTTAAACTCCTGGTAGACAACCAACCCTTTATGGTGAAAATGATTAATACTTGATTAACCTGCCATCTTCCCACAAGTAATCTGATGAGGGGCCTCCTCGGTCACAGTCTCTCAGTCCAGCAGATTTTCGTGTGTTTTGGCTTGAGAAGCCAGGGTATAAAGCAAAGCTGCTCTTATGCAAACAGGGAAGGGCCTGCCTTCCCCCCGACTTCCTCTCCCTTCTGCTGCTGCTGCGGCCAAGAGCCTCTCCTTGCCCGGAGGACACTGCGGCCGGAGTGGCCAACGTGAACCTTGGCAGTCTCTGCCCTAAACTGGTCAGGAGGAGGTGGTGGTGTGGGCCTGGGGTAGGGGGAGACGTTCGGACCCTTTATTCATGGCACCAAGTGAGTGACCCAGTGTTTGAACTAAATACATGGCGGGGCCCAGTGAACGCACACCTGTGTTTGTATCCTGTCCGTGCTTCTTCTATTACCATCCTTCGGAGGTAGGTGGGCGGAGGCACAAATGCTTACCAGAAGTGGACAGGATCCTGGCTACCCAGAAGTGGGTGGGAGACCTGGGGTGCCGCTGTTTCATTTGGCATGACCTGGCAGGAAAGGCAAGTGGCTGCTTCGCTAAAGAAAAACTGTACCTCTTTACATGTTACCACTTCCGTGCCCCACCGCACAAGGACTTGCATCTATCCAGATGAGAACGAGCACTCGAAGCCCGAGTCAGTCCTGAATCTTCGGGTAGAACTGGCCCCAGCAGCAGCCAGCTTAGCATGTTCCTGGCTTCGAGGTGAAAAGGCCCTTTTGCCCGAGCTCAGCAAGCTGGAAGGGGGTGGGGACAGGAGAGGAGACTTCTGCAGCCTTTCCCACAGGAACCTTGGGCAGCTGGAGCAGTGGGAAGACACCTTCACACTTGTCTGTAAGGCGATCTGCTAATCACCTGCCGCCAGGAAATGTGTGAGCCAGAGAGAGCTGGTTTCCCAGGGGGCCTTCTTTCCTGTGCTCCGTCAGGAAATTCTTTTGCTTTTACAAAGTCCCGGCAAGACTGCGTGTGACGTCTCCTGTTCTTCCTTGCTTCTCATTTGTCTCCAAGTTGCATGAATCATTCTTGGGAGACCCTGCCTTCCCCCCACTTTATTGCCTTTTCTTCTGCACAGGTGATCTGACTAGCCCATTTGTTGTAGGGGTCTGTGGCTCAGTTTGCTCCGTTCATGTCTAATTTTGCCCTCGAACATCTATAGGGCTGATCTGTAGACTCATAGGAGCTTAGATGTGACAGCTTGTTTGGAGGTTCTAGCTGGGGAGTGCAGCCACTCATATATTCTTAATTGAAGACTGGTCCTCCTCCATTGGAGATGGTCGTCCTCTTCGACTGAGCACGCATCTTTGAGAGGGTCTCACGTGGAGCGATGAGGGAGGAAGGGGACACCTGCCTAGCCAGCCAGATAGGCCGAATCAACCCTGGCAATCAGTGGAGAGACAGATGTCGCAACCACTTCCGGATATGAGAGCCCTCATATCCAGAGCTCAGACTTGAAACATACTTTAGAGATAATCTCATTTAACTGCTAATCACTTCATTTCACAGAGTGGGAAACTGCGGGCTGGTAAAGTTAAGGTCATCTAGATGTTTAGAGGTAAGACGGGAACTGGGACTCAGGCAGTTTTGTTTTTCCACTGGTCCCTACCGCAATCACTCCTACCCCTGTTGTGCACTCTCTCCAAGGACCAGTGCCTGCCCCATCACAGCGCCAGCCTTGGATCCGAATGAGAGGGCCCAGCTCGGTATCCATGTTTTAGGGGGCCTGCTCCGGTTTCCCCTAGCACGCCCCTCCCGGTGGGATGAGGAGTCAGCAGGATCTAGGTGATATGTGTGTCTGGAGCTCTTAACCTGGCCCGGGGGGAGCTCGAGGGAGCAGGCCTTGGAGGTACCCGTGGGCAGTGTTTGCTGGCTGGGGCTAGGTGGGGTGAGGAGAGGCCTTAGGACATATGACATGGGATGTGGGCCTCATTGATTCCCTTTCCCTGGACCTCACAGAAGTAAAGGATGTGCTTGTCCTGACCTGTATTTGTGTTGTTATCAGAAACAAGGATTCCTTAGTTTTCCTCTTTGATCTTCCTCTTAACTCTAGTCCTCCTCTCTGTCTCTGCTTTTCATGTTCCTTACAGGCTACATGCGATTCCTGAGAGAGGTCTTTCCAGCCAAGCCCACTGGGCTTTGATCGTG